CATTAACTAAATGTGCTTTAAAGTTCCTATTTTTTAAAATTTAGGAAAGCTCCAGCTCAAAGGATGTCTCACTCAGAAATCCTTTCAAAAATGATTTTTAAATTCAAGCCTTTTAAGAGAAGCAACATTAAAAGATATTTTACAAAATCAAAATTCTTTTTTTAAAAAACTTTTGAAAAAAATGAAGTTCTTTCCAAGAAGCATCCTTTAAAAAATTAAGAGATTCAAGGCTCTTTTCAAAATTTAAAGTTCTTTTCAAAGTTAAATAAAAGACTTATTAAAATTTAAAGTTCTTTTCAAAATTAATAATAGATCTTTTCAAAATACATTTCAAATGCAAATTTAAAACAACTACAAAAGGATCTTTTTCAAAGAAATTAAAACTCCTCTTGAGCTCAGGAAATTAAAACTAAAAAATTTATAAACTTTGTCAGACTTTTTCAATTGCTTATCCTAAGCAAGGCTTATATATTCACTAGCATAAGTGTCTACTTGAATTAACATGTTTCCCCTTAGAAACATGTGATTTCATAGCTATGACTTATGAGAATATAAATCTCAGGTCATTCTCAATCTAATTAATTCATATATAAGTAAACTTGTATCGGACACACTTTTTGAATGACAAAATCACTTTACAAAAATCTCTTTTGCATGAAAAATAAAATACTTTCAGTGAGAATACAAATGATACTTTTGTAGAATTGAAAGGTTTAAGTTAAATTATTCTGAATATAAGTTTCAACCGCACATACCAAAACCCTAGGAATGAGGAACAAAAATACTTAAGATAGAAATCTGAAAATAAAACCAGAAGAACCTAATTTTTAACAACAATTGACAACCTAGGAAAACTGAAACTTCAAACCATTATAAGAATTTTGATTTGTGATCATAACTGAAAAACATAGGAATCAAACAAATCACTGTTTAAATAGTAAACCCCGGAAAATAATTAAAATTGACCAATTATTACTTTCACGACCACAACAAAAGATAGCTCTAAATTATGAACCCTTGATTAGCCAACCTAGACAAAACCTCAGGCACACACACATCCTAGAATAATACAGTCTATAAGCCTAAGTTAGATTATTAGGTACCCAATAAATAAAATTAATGACTAAACCTCAAAAGCAATTGACTTATCCCTTTGGACTATAGGGGTAACATAAAATAAAGTAATTCGTGGTTACTAATGAAGACACCCCAAACTATGTAATAATATGATGATTTATCTTAATTCGTTGCTCGATGATAAGGGATATCTCTAGTTAGTTTGTTAGTTAATAGTCTAAGGATATTAATGCACTCGAGACGAGAGAAAGTCATGGGCATCTTGATCAGGAGTGTTATTCCCAAAATTTAAGTTAGTACACCTATAACCTCCTATTTAGAGTCACGTTAGGTTAGAGATTCACCCCCATCTAGAAATCCCCTATCTTTTCTATCCCTTTGTCTATGATTCGACTCAACCCAATTTTAATCCAAATCAAATCAATTTCAATTCCGCTCACTTCTAGCCAACCCAACTCAGCTTAACTCAAACTCAACTCGATCAAGTCCAAATCAATTATGGTTCACACTCAAACTCAATTCAATATCAATTCAAACCAACCCCAAGTCCATTTCATACTTATTCAACTCCATTCAGTCGAAGCCTCAGAAAATTCAACTCAACTTTGTACCTCAAACTTAAATTTCAAATTCAAGATCTATATCAAAACTCTGACTTTCAATTGCTGAGTTTCAAACCCCATGAATAAACAAATTTTAAAATTCAACCCAAATTTAATAAATTTTAATTAACTTTAAGTTAAACAACATAATAACAATCCTTACCAAACTTTCGTAAATTTAATAAACTTGAATGAATTTTAATAATACTTAACCAAACTTTAATAAACTTAATTAAAGTTCAATAAAAATCTTAATCGACTTCAATAATTTTAAAGAACTTTAACAAATTTGAACAAAGATAATGAATTCAAAAAAAAACTTAACAAATTTAAGGAAATTTTAGTAAAATTTAAGCAAACCTTATAAAGTTTTAACCAAAATTTACAATTAAATTAAAAAAGTAGTTAACTTCAACAAATAACAGTCAATCTTAAATTCTTAAATAAACTTAAACTTCATAGTTCTTAATGAACTCTAATAATCTCCAAACAAATTTTAAAATAAACTTGAAACAAACCTAACAACTCCAATTAACGATAACAAATCAGTTTTAAAAACTTAACATCACCTCTATAATTTAACAACCAACTTAAACCAAATCAAACTCATAAGTCAACCCCAAAACAAATTTTAAAATGAAATTAAATTCAACAAACTCAAGTTTCAGCTCAAGTGAAATTGATCTATATCAAACCTGTCCAAGTTCTCAATTTCCCTCAAATCATTTCAGCTCACCCAATTGTGTCTTCAACATCTTTCATCTCACAGATACTTACTTATGATTAAGAAAGATATAAGGTATAACTTTGATCAAGAGTATTCTCAGGAGTTAATCTTGAGATGTAATTAAGAATGAGTGAGCCCCCTCTTATGGAAATCAAACCCTATAATCAAATAAACATTATCTTACACCCGCCATGTGACGAAAATATCTGGTTCTGTAAATCCATAAACCATGAAGATTTTCATCATCCGAGTGATTAGATCCCTTCTAAAGTATTATTAGTATCCTTCGGAATAGTATATTACTATTTGAATGTTGTATATAATCATTCATATAGAAAGTTTTCAAAATCTAGGATGACCGCACACATAAAAAACCCACCAATCCTTTGCTGTACGTAGCATAAAAATTTTAATGTAATCATCTGAAATAAATGCACAATATAAATACGCTCTAACGTTTAAGCTAGGAAACTCTCAGGCTAGAAGTTCACTGAATCTCAAATTTGCCAATCTATCTCACTTCCTTAAATCTAATAACTTAATGAAATCATAATATTCTCTTACAAGGGCAAGCACCATACAATCAAAATATAATATGAGGTAAATGTACAGGGTGTTAATCACCACATAACTTGCAAATATAATGTAAATATTGCTCACTATAAAATACATTTATATTTTAATTAATGACTTTAAGTTGAAATAGTTTAACTCACTAATTTAACTCACAATATTAAACTTAATCTAAGATGCGCAAATAATATTTCATCCAAAAATAAAAATTTACAAGAGAGATTAAAATAGAAAGTATATGATTAGCAAATAAAGACTTAAAGAGAATAAAGCACTCGTTGTCTTCAAGAGCATTTGCATTTGTTAAAAACTTAATTCAAACATTAGATCATCCAAGTATATGTTTGTCTTCATCAAAATTAATAGAATAGATCATAAGGCTCAAAATGTCAAAAAGGGACATCCATACCAAAAATATTTACTCTTTCAATGACTAGAGTTTTCACATCAAGTCGGAGATTGAGAATGGCCAAAAGATTAAACAGTCCAAATGTTCGAAACATACATCATATTCATATTTCAAGAGAGCTTAAATGTAGAGCAATAAATAATCTAGCTCGATTGTAATCTAAGGGTGTTTGGGACAGCCTGTGCGTTTCAGGATAAACAACTTACATGGCCCAGGGGTTGACCGTGTGGTTCGACTCGCGGCCTACGTTTAGTGTAAAAATGGAACTGTGTTTTCGAATAAGCGAGCAAAACGTGCAATCCAAACGGTACCACGACGTTTTTAAAAACCTCCCCGCACTTATAAGCTGCCCCAAACGGGTCCTAAATGTAATATCCTCGCAAAGGCAGGAGCAGGACCTTCGCTGATAAAAGTTACTTCAATGAAACAGAATGGTGCAAACAGAATATTTAAGAACATAAGCGACAAGAAAAAATCGCAATAAATTTTAGTAAAAATATATAAATTAAAATTTTCATCAAATAAAACAATTGCCAGGATTGAATGGCAAAGAAAGATTTGCAATCATCAGCATCACGTAATGCATTCTACTAAACAATTTCAACAGAAGAACAGCAATTGTTTTAGTAGTAGGGGAAAAAAAAAAAGACAAATATATCACCGATTTATTACAATTATCTGTCACAACAAGCATTACATCGCATAAAAAAGTATGCTGCTCAAACATATGAGTGCTTTTGCGCTCAGCCAGAACAAGTTGATTTGAGTACAAGGCAGATTGAACATATAACAAGGACCTTCTTATCTCGTTTTTTGACGAGATTTATCAACCCAAGCTATGGTAATTCAAACAAAGTTAATTATTAAACCTATCTCTATCATGAGGAGCAAAATAATTTGTGTTGGAGCCAATTGGAATGATTCCGTGCGGATTAACACTAGGATGGCTTCCATAGTAGTGCTTCTTAATATGTTCCATGTTAACTGTGCTGCTGATGCCTGGTATTTGATATATGTCTTTGGTGTAATTGAACAGATTTGGATATTCACGTAGGAGTTTCTTATTACATTTGAAATGAACCGAATAAACCTATCAAACCAAAGCATCAGTCAATCTATTACCATCTAATCATTGATGGGTGACAAAAAATGTCAAAAACATAACTTGAGATTAGACATACTGGTACAGTTAATTAATTGGTATGGGTTACTACTACTAGTTAGTGCAAAATTGATTCTGAACCAATGGTCAAATGGCATCTAAAGGCAGGCCTGTTGCCGGAACAAAAAAATCAATGAATAGGTGCATTCAACCACCTTGTAACTGACAAAAAACTAGCTTCCTCCCTTTAAGGTAAACGAGAATGCAAATTCAATGGATCGTTTTATTTATTTTATTTGTACAGCCTTTTTTTTTTCAATTACATAACTTTGAGAATCAAATAAGAAAATTCAAAACCCTCATCAATCGGTTAAATTAGCAACCATAGATTTGGTTTCCTTTATTTACAAAATTTAGATATAAATATTGAGAATTTAAATTTTTTGAGCTTGAATAGGCTTTCCTGGAACTTCATCATAACATTTCTTTGCTTATACGGAAGAGATGGGAAGAGAAGCAAATTAAATAAATTATCCTATCGTAAAATCATTTTGAGGGTTTTTATTGCATTAAATTCAAGTGCCTATCAAAATAAGTTTCCTTGACTTCTTTATTTAATGGCCACTTTCTCTACAAATCTCCAAAATTATTTGTATATTTTTCTATGTTGTGTTTTGTTCAAGGAGTAGAGATTTTGCTCTTATATTTGTTAGGTTATAGCTTTGTTACCAGCAAAGTTTTGAAAGGTTTTGGATTAGCATTTTAAAATATAATCTTGTATAAGCGGAGTGATGGATAGCTTGATGAAGCTTTAAATTGTAAAGCTTGGGTTTTAGTTTGGTGACCTTTTCGTGTCAAGCAGTAGGTGATTTTCCCTTAAAAAAGGTGTAATGGATTCTTTGTTAGTGTTTCAGCGAAAGAGTGGTAGTTAATAACAAATGAGGGCCCATTTGGGGCAACTTTTTTGGCAGAGTGTGTTTTGAAAACATGTCTGGGTATGTTTGGAAATAGTGGCGTGGTGGCGGTCCTAAATAATCTATCTTAAAACTCGACCTCAGATTCGACCCCGCGACCCGCATTTCTTCGCGCACATATTACCCCGCTGTCACCACGGCTCCCTCTCTCGCGCTTCTTCTGCCCTATCTACCTCTCTTGATTGCACTTGTGAAGTTCTTACCCCGCTGCCTAGGTATCTCTCTTGCACCTCTCCGGTGGCAACTTGCATTTCCCCTCACTCTTTTCTCACTGATCTCTAGTTATTATGCACTATATGTAATTCATGTGTTCATTTTCGATGGAATGACTTTCGTTTTGCGATTTGTAGCTTTGTATGTCGGGTTTTGTGAGAATTTTGTGGAATCGATCATAAGCTTTCTAATTTTGTGACTTTCTCATTTTCATTCCTGGTTATTGTCAGAATTTTGTGGATTTTATGATTTGTAGGGTTCTGTGAAATAGTGTTTCGGGTGCCCAGTATGCAGATAGCACTATTTCGGGTACCCTGTATGTCACTGCCTCAATTGAAAAAAGGATGAAAGAGGGAGCTTAATTTGTAGATAGCATTGTTTTGGCGCCCTATATGTCACTGCCTCAATTGAAAAATATGGTAAGGAAGATAGCTTTTTCGAGTGCCTTGTATGTAGATAGCACTGTTTCCGGTGCTCTGTCTATAACTAGTGAGAATCTGAAAATATGTTTGCCCTGCAAGTAATGTTTTGGGTGCCCTGTATGTTATAGGTTGAAAATGATGTTCTCGCGACCTGTCTAAAATATGAGGAAGGTGCAAGCGAGATGACGGACTTAAGTGAACGAATTACGGATGCGATAGTTTAAGGGTAATTGAAGTTTTTATCATATTATTAATTGTAATGATTGTTGAAGAGGTTCACTATTTATTGTATCAGTGTTTTATACAGTTCATATTTATTTTAATTTCTTGTGTATTTGATATTGATTATTTTGATTTCTTATGCAACTTGTAAGTGTCTTTTTTCCTTTTACATTTCTTTTATTTTATTTTATTTTTTTTTTGTGGGCTTTGGAGATCTATGATAAGATATTTGACCTTATGGGTTTTTCTGAATGATATATTTTTCTCTATTGGTTGGTATCACATGTGAAATCCTAATGAAGACAACTAAATTCTTCTTTTTTTCAGGTGCTATAGTTTTTGAAGTTCTTCTGAAAGGCCTTTTTTGTGATATGTATATATGACACACACGATAATGGTATTATGTGGGTTAAAAACAACGAAAAGCCATTTTTTTATAAGGTATGTTGTCTTCTTGTAGTGATAGATTCGTTGGTTTATATACTGAGTTCTCTGATATCTCACAACCGTATAAAACTATAATTAATTACTTCTTTTATCAATTTTTACTTGTGTTATCTCTAATGGGATGTTTTTTTAAGCATTCAGAAAAGATAAGATAGAGAACTTCTGGTACTTCCCAAGGATTGCACTGCTAATGTGGACTTCAAAATTCCCTGCTAACTTCACGTCAGCCACAAAGCTACGAGAGACAATCTTACTAGTGCCCATGGAGAATCACAAAAAAACTGTGACTATTTTCTATAGGCAAATAGGTTGGAAGATTCTATCGTCGAGAGTGATCACGCATTGAGAGTACCCTGGAGGACGGCATAGCTCGTGACATATGTCATCTACATTTAAAAAATAATATTATCATATTATTAATTGTTGTTTTAATTCTTTTTCTTAATTTTAATAATCATATTACTCATTATTAAGTAAAGTGCCTATTTGTATTTTGTAATATTTTACACTGGATTTTTGCTTTTAAAGTATAAAGTGTATTGGTATGAACAGTTCTGTTGCAAACAACATTACTATCCAGGAACAGAATAGTCATTTGTCTAGAAACAACTGCAACACAATTGTTTTCAAACTACAAAAAAATAAGCACAGTTAACTTATCAATAGTATTTTCCTGTGGCAACTGCTTCCTAGCTGCCCCAAACAGGCCCTTAATAAGGATGAACTATGAAGAATGGTTGATGTAGACTAATTTGATGTTGAATGACGTAAAAATTATAACCATATTCTTTACATTTATATCAGCATAACTTGCATTTTTTACTTGGTTAATTGCATGGTTGGAAATGTTTATGTCGTGATACATGTTTAAAAAGAACAAAAGTTGGTGTAGTTGGTCGATCTTCAAATTTATGCTCAAATTAATGTAAAAAAAATCTTAATATAGACACTTAATTGTGTGACCTTGGTGATTGATGTGATCATTTATAGCTTGTGTTGTGGAGTAGACATTTTATTATTGTGCTTATTATCACATTACTAGCACATCTTGCTAACTTGCATTCATACAACATTGAACATTGGTGCAATTGATTTGTAAGCTCAGTGACTACTTTAATTTATGCTAATGATCAAGTGAAGCATTCATTTAAGGTTTTATTGTTTATTCACCAGTATAAATATAAACAATTTATGACTCACTTATATTGAGTGTAGTTTAGTTATTTGACTGATAGTTTAGTTATTCTGCGTGTTAATTATGAGGATTCAAGCTGGTATGATTTAACATGAAATTCTAAACTGTCAATACACCCTCAATTCACCCACCACCATCTCCTTGTATTGCTAGACTCTACAATCACCACTTGCACCACATTGGAAGAATTTGCATCCAATAAGCACTTTAGCATGTACAGGTACGAAATACTCTAAGTAATTATAGTTAGAGCTTCCTTCTATATGCCATAAATATCCTATTAATAACCACGTGAGTTCCATTATATATCAGTTAGATAAAGTCGCCGCAATCTCATAATAATCATAATTCATAAGTGATAAGTCACTTGTCGCACATAAATGATAGCCAACACCCAAGAAAGATTTCTTTGAAATATACACTCAACAAAAGAATAAAATGCCAGTAAGCCATAGATAAAGAAAAGAATAGCATTTCATGAAATCATAGTATCCAAGCATGCAAGAAGCACAGATCATGCTTTGTAGCAGAACCAAATCAATTCCATTAATGTGCAGCCCACCAAATGGACTAATAGTAACTACAGAAACCAGAGTGAATAGAGAACAAAAAAAAAACAGAGATCTACTTGTTGAATTAAACAAAACCAGCATGGGGAATAAACAAAACCGAAGGGAATTAAAGGCTCAGAACATTTGAGAACACGATCCATTCAGATAGTAATCAACATAATTACAAAAACAAAACTAAAAACTGAAATCCTGAAGTTCAAAAAACTACTAAAATACAACAACAACAACAATAACAAGGCTTTATCCCATCAAGTGGGATTAGCTACATGAATCCTTTTTCTCCATTGTGTCCTACTGAGTGTCATATTTTCATTTAATTATAATAAATTAAGATCATTTTTTGTACGATAAGCCCAAGTCTTTCTAAGTCTACCTCTGCTTTCTTAACATAAGTCGAATCTAAAACATCTACTATCCTAACCAGATTATCAGATGGTCAACTTTTAATGTGACCAAACCATTTAAGACAATTCTCTCTAACTTTGTCTGCCATTGGAATGTCTGCCAATAGAACTATACCAACCCTATCACGGATATATTCATTTCACATCTCTAAGTGTAAAGTCACTCATCCTCCTAAGCATTCTCATCTCGGCAACACTTAACTTAGTTTTATGCTTCTCTTTTAAAGATCCACATTCAACGACATAGAGCATTGCAGATCTCACCACCATCTTATAAATTTTCCTTTCAGTCTAAGCAATACTTTTCTATCATGCAATAGGCCAGAAACATTCCTCCACTTCAACCAACCAACTTGAATTCTACTATTAACATCAACCAACTACTAATAACATCACTAATAACATCACCATCTATATCACAATCACTTTGAACAATAGACCCGAGATATTTAAATTGTTCATACCGTTTAATAATTTGACCACCCATAGTTACAACTCTGTCACTAGAGCTACTACTACTAAAATTACATACCAAGTATTCAATTTTAGTTCTACTCAAACGAAGACCTTATACTCCAATATAAACCTCCATAATTCAAGTTCTTCTTGAGTTTTTTCCCGTCTTATCCACAAGAAGGATATCATCATCGACAAGCATACACCAAGGTACATCCTCGTGTAAATGTCCAGTAAGAGCATCCTTAACTAAAGCAAAAAGGTATAAGCTTAAAGTCGATCCCTGACGTAATCCCACTAAAACAGGAAAATTTTGGTCAATCATCCTTCTGTTCAAACACAAGTAACAACTCTAGCATACATATCTTTAATGATTTGAATATAAGTCATATCAACATCTTTCTTCTCTAGAACTCTCCAAAAAACATTTCTAGTAACCTTATCGTAAGATTTTTCTAAATCAATAAAAATCAGGTATATCCTCCTTATCCTCTATGTACTTCTGCATCAAACCTCTCAATAAATGTATAGCTTCCATAGTAGAGCTGCCCAACATAAATCCAAACTGATTAGTAGAAATCATTATAATACGATATAACCTATGTTCAATTACTCTCTTCCATAATTTTAAAGTATGACACATCAACTTAATTCCTCTATAATTTGCACGCTCTTGTGCATCCCCTTTATTCTTAAAAATATGGACCAAAATACTCTTTCTCCACTCCTCAGACATTTTTTTTAGTTTTCAAATTAATATTAAAAAGTTTAGTAAGCCAAGGAACTCTTCAATCTCCTAAATATTTTCACACTTCAATTGGGATATCATCAGGTCCTACAGACTTTCCACCCTTAGTTCTTTAAAGTCTACTCAACTTTTTTTTCACTAATGTGATTGTAAAAATGAAACATTTTTTTATTATTAACGAAATTAATGTCACTAAGGTCGATCGTATTTTCAAAAATTTCATTGAAAAATTTATCAAAATAACTTACCCGCCTATGTTGAAAAACTTTTTCTAAGAAATGCACTTTTTTGTTTTCATCTTTAATACACTTTATTTGAGTTAAATATTTATTTTTCTAAATATTTATTTTTCTTTATTTGAGTTAAATATTTATTTTTCTTTTCCTCTTTGTTTGGCTAGTTTATACATATATTTTTCACCCTCTTTAGTACCTAACATATTATAAAAATCATTAAAAATAGAATTTTTAGCATCACAGATTATTCTCTTAGACTTCTACGGGTCATGTTATATTTTTGCCCAATTCTCTAAGCTTTTACATTTAAATAAATTTTTATAACATAACTTCTTATATTTATCTTTCTTTGCATATTATTATTCCACCATCAACTATTTTATTTATAGAAACTTCTTTTGATTGTCGAAGTACATCTTTTGTCACTTGTTTAAGAGTATTTGTTAATTTATCACATAGAATTTTCTTCTTCATGAATCTTAAAACCTTAAAGTTTACTCAAAAGAATAATTTTATTCATGTCTTTTAGGTGTCATCATTTAATTCTATGACAATGATTTCTAGTATTCTATATTTTACAACTATTCATCTTAAAATCCAGAACTAATAATCGATATTGAGTACTTAAATACTCACTTAGAATGACCTTACAATATTTACATTCTCGACGATCTCTTCTTCTCATAAGAAAATAATAATTTTGTGTTCTATTAAATCCATTCTTATAAGTAATAATATGTTCATCTCTTGAATAAATTATCAATTGGTTGGCTCAATAGCCAGTACATATATTGTGTTTTAGACGAGAAACAAACATCAAGGTTTACATCAAGTAATACAAGATAAACAAAAGAAATATACATATAGCAATATCATGAAAAAATAAGAATAAAAAATGAGAGACAAAATATAACATGGATAAAAGTTTGTATACGCAACAATAAACACCTCATATAGCACAAAAAAAGGACTAAAACTAAATTCAATTAAAAATCAGTTCGGATACAAGTCAATGAAGAGAGGGCAATCAGATAATAGGGATGACCTGGGTTTATTATTCTAATTGTCATTTGCAGTTTGATATATTTTGTATCCTGTGCTTTTTTATATATTAATGCTATATATGATGTATACAAAATAATACGTTATATAAAAAAATTTAAAAACTCCAATTTCGTAATGCGGTTATCCACTGCAGGGTGATAAAAATAGCTAAGTGGCCGAGCATATGAGTAAAAAAATTAGCAAACCTTTGTTCTCGCCATTTGCAATAATGAAAGTTGAAACCATAAAGAAAAAAGGCTTGCAACCAACGTTCTTGAAGATCCTTACCTCATCAAACCTTATCAAAGTTACGAAAAGACGAACATCAGCTTCTGTGAGTTCATTCCCACAAATATAACGTTGCTTGGCAAATATCTCCTCACATTTGTCCAAGGAATTATATAACTTGGTCACAGCCTAGGTAGAAGTACAACATCAAAATCAGATGAAGCACCGGATTTCATTCAAATGGGTAAGTTAATCAATACCTCATCATAAGGCCCTTGTTTTATAGCAAACCCACACTTATAAACACCATAGTTTATTGCATCAAAAACCCATTCATTGACATCATCAATTCGTGCTCGTAGGTGAGAAGGGTACAAGTCCATATCAGCGTTTTCAGCCATTTCATTGAACTCGGTGTTTAACATGCGAATTATTTCTGAACTCTCATTATTTACAATTATTTTGAGTTTTTTATCCCAGAGAACCTGTAACATAATTATGAACCAAACTTGATTGTGTCTTAATAAAAAAGAATAGAAAAAACTCTTTCCGGAAATAGATGCAAAAAAACTAGAAACCAAAATATTGTATTCGCACCGGGACAGAATATCTTCCAGAATAATTTGAGCTTCCAAGCTCATAAAGTTCCCTAACACTCTTGGCTCCATTCAGATGATCAGGTTCAGCCCCAGCTTCTTCTGTGCTAGAAGAAGGAAAGACCCATCCAAAATGTTGATCAGTCTCTTTGGTCCTTTCGAATATTGGTTTGACTACCTAAATAATTATATGAGTATAAGATTGAAGTGTCAAAAAAAAAAAAAATTAAGATATGTAACCTTCAGTAAAAGAGAAGAAATCACCGTGTAACTGATGGCCTTTTGAAGTCCTTTGAGTTTCAAAAATGCTAGGCATCTAGATGCCCAGGGACATGCATAAGAAATATAAAGATGGTACCTTCCAGACTCTGCAGGAAATTGGGATTTCGGATCTTTGGAAATAGAATTACGAATAGTTGAAGGTGTGGGGACAAAAGCACCAGTCTTTGACACCCAAGAAAGTGCAGCTTGGGTCATTGAAAGTGATTTCAAAGAGTCCATGACTTGAAAATCGACACGAAGTAGTCAGTAAAAAGTTATGAACCTGTTTCTAAAATAAATAACATATTAAGATGGTTATAATGATTCTTTCAAAATGAAAGCAAGCCGAAAATTGTGTGCACTTCAGCCCAATAGTGATTTCAAAGAGTCCATGACTTGAAAATCGACATGAAGTAGTCAGTAAAAAGTTATAAACCTGTTTCTAAAATAAATAACATGTTAAGATGGTTATAATGATTCTTCCAAAATGAAAGCAAGCCAAAAATTGTGTGCACTTCAGCCCAACTTGCAATATTCTGAATATTGATATGTAGCATTAATTCACCATCTTTGCAACAACAGACAACACAAGTATATCACTCACAATAGAAGAAAACTGTACAATTGTGAAAGGGGGCAGAAGGCTGAAAATCTTGAATCCATAAGCCCACCAATCAACTTATGTTTTCTCAGTATCTATACCAGTACGTATTTATAGAACAAAAATGTTGAAATTTTGAAACTTTGAGAACCTTGTATCAAGAATAAGTATCCATAAAAAATGGATCCAAAAAAACAAACTTCCACATAAAAAAAAATCAGTGTAAAAAAAAAGATCAAAACTCAATAAAATGTAGTCTGAAATTAAATAATTATGCATTACTGAAATAGAACAAACATTCAGAAATATTCAAAAAGATTTTCAATGTTCCAATTAGAAAGTATGATCTTTTATTTCGAAAAGCAGTAGATTTTCAAATATTCTATAGGAGTAGCCTCAGAAAAACAATAAGAACTAGAAATGTGGCAAAGTTCTAAATTCCGGTTCCATCATTCATGCCAAGCAAAAGCTGCTAAGTAAAGACATAATCATGAAGTCACAAGAATCAGAAAAATAATTTTAAGGGTGCAAAAAATTATCAAATATCAGTAAATTCCTTACATTTTTTTTCAAGTCATAATTTGCACTAGTTCCCATTACAATTAATTTCAATAACATTGAAGTTTGATCTTCTTTGATGAAACAAAGGCATGTGTGATATCACACTCTTTTTTTTTGTGGGCTATTACTCCCCTGAAAGAGTGTGTTGCTAGACAATAGTGAAAAAAAAAACCATAAATTGGCACTGAAGTGCAGCAACCTCATTCATCAATCGCAGAGTAAGATAAAGTGCAAACATTAAACTATTGCATCAATTCCTTAAAACCTTCAAAGAAAAAAAGAATCAACACCCTATTTATATGGCAATGCACCCATTTCTTTCATATAAAAACTTCTTAAAAGTTGCAAAGAGTTATCAGTGACTTCTGTATGAGCACACATAAGCATTTAAAAATTAAACAAATTTCAATATACACTTTAAACAAGCTAATTTAATGAAGCAAATTTCCATTCATTTACTATAAGCTATAATAGTATTCTAAAAACAAGACTACGCAAAAAAATTGAAAATAAAGTATTTGATTTGTAATGATGCCATATAAGTTCAAGTCTCTAGATAACAATTCAAGCGAGATTCAATCCCTGGTAGCCCAGAGTATGTTTTTTAAAAGGGTATAAGGAAAGACATCATACACCTCTCTTGTTAATCTGGTGAAAAAGTACCACAATGTCTACCAAATTTGGATCTTCCCTCTATTCACTAATTCTGAGTAAATCTAAAATGTTAAATGATACCCTAAATTACAAGTTCAAGCCTCAAAACATCAAACGAGTATTGCTCAAACAAACGAACAATCTCCAATAAACCCAAAACAGGCGCTGCGAATCATAAACAACTAATTCAACAGATGTCCAAACCCTAAACCATTATCTAATGATAAAAGCAAAAATGTACAGTAATTTTTCAGAAAAAAAAATTTCTTAAAATTCAACATTAGGAGGAGACCTCTACCTCAAAAACGTTTTACTTCACCTTGGCTTGCTATAGGCAAACGCTGAAAAAAGAGATGAGGAGAATGCAGACGACTGAAGGAGCTGAGAACACTTTTAAATAATGAAAAGGGTTTTCGCGGTCATCCCTAAGGAGGCCGCTGCCGTGGTTGACCTTCCATTATCCGATCAGCCGCCATGGCAGCCGTCCTGCGAGCTTGATAAAATCGTAGACTATTCCGTTGCAAAATTTCAGCATTCCTGTATTTAGATAATATGTGCTATTTTTGGATTATTTCTTTTGTTGCAAAATAAATTCAACTAAACAAATGCTTAAAAATAATTTTAGATAGTTACGCGAATTACTGCAATATTGATGTAAATCAACTTAAAGTCCGTTTGGGACAGCTTATAAGTGGGGATGAAAATGTCACTGTACCGTTTGGTTCATGCGTTTCGTCAGCATATCTGAAACTGCGTTTGAGATTTTACACTAAACGCAGGTCGCGGATAGAAGCACGCGGCTCGTCTGCTTGCCGCGTTTCAGAATAAACAATTTATCCTGAAACACACAAGGTGCCACAAACGCACTCTGCGTTTACTGTAAAAACCCAAACACGATTTCAGATAAGCTGGCGAAACGCGCGGACCGTAAAACAAAACGGTACAGCGACGTTTTGAATACGCCGCTCACACTTATAAGCTGCCCCAAACGGGCTTTTAAGTTGATTTAAGATAAAGATTAAGGTGTTCTTTGGCAATATGTAGGATATAAATTATTAAGATTTACTAAATTCTATAAATCTAGATTTAATAAATTTTAAAATAGTTAAATCTTAAAAATTGTTTGGTAGTGGATTTAAAAAATTAAGTTAAGTCCTTTTAAATTGTTTGTCAACTTTTGGCTAGATTTAAAAAATCTTTTGATTTGTTAGAATAAAACATAATAAAGCTTTGATTATTTCATTATTATGAATAAAATTGATTTAATTTTTAACATTTTAAAGTATTGAAATTTTAATTAATTATTTGATGATTATAATTAACTATTCATTAGTTATTTAGTTAGGATAAATTACTTGTTCAAAATTTTTTTACCCATTATTGATTTAATTTTTATTCCTAATAATACTAATAAATAGATAAGTATTCACTAAATTAACTTATCATTGATAAGAATTATGTTAAACCAACTATTTATTAAGAAATAATATTTATCAATTTATAATTAATTTCTTAAAAATTACCTTAATCAATGATTACTAAAAAATTAATTAAATAATGGGCTTTAATTAATAAAATAGCTATTTACATATATAATAATGGACTTTATTATTTCTTAAATAATTATTTTTAATCAATTCGGTTAATTAAAATTAAATTAAATATCCACTCTTATTTCCCTTCCACTTAGACCTGAATATTGGGCAAGTGGCCCGGCTGGCTCTCTATAAACCAGTTTAGAATTAGTTGGCTTTACTGTGAAAAAATAAAAATTTGGCTAGTCAGGTTCGGCCTGAGCTTATTTCGACTTAGTCAAAGCCTGAAGTAAAACCCGGCCAGAAAAGAAAAATTATTACATACCTAACTTTGATTCTATGAATCTCTCTATATAGACCTAAAGTTATAGCAAATGAATGAAATTCAGACTTGGGCTTTAAAGATAGTTTTACTTTCATCCAGAAGCTTACATTATGCACATCCTCTATATATATGCAAGAGTAGAAAGTTCTAAAGTACATTATTACCTTACTGCCACATGAAATAAGTTAGGATACTAGATATTCTTGATGCAGGAATCGTAAGTGTTGGCGATCCTCCTCTCCTTCCATTACATGTAGGTAATTATGGTTAATACCCTCCTTTAAGTTGATGAGCCTTAATTGACGAGCCTTGTTAATGACTTGGAGCTTAGATTTGAGAAGATTAAACTGTTGCTTGTTCAAGGGCTTGGTTACGATATTCGCTGGTTGATCATGGTTGTGAATGTAGTGCAGTTGGAGAGTGTCGGGTTGAATATGTTCACAAATGAAATGATAGTCGATCTCATTATGTTTAGTGAGTGTGGAAGACACGATTATTTGCAATGGCCATCGCAGAAATGCCGTCATAGAATAGATTGGAGGGAGACTCTTTAACAACACTCAATTCAGTCAGGAGACATCTGTGCTATTTAAGATCAGTTGTGGCAACAGCTAATGCTCTATATTCAACTTCGGTTGACGTGAGCTACTATTTATTTTCTGATGGTCCATGAGATAGGCGTATCACCCAAAAATGTGCAGAAACCGATAATAGATTTTATGTTGGTCGAGTCGTCAGCCCAATCAACATTTGAGTATGTTTGACGAGTAAGTGGATCACGAAAGATGCTAAGATTGGAGTCACTTATGTCCTTTAAGTATCGTAAGAGATGTTTGTGATATGTTGACGGCTGATGCATATGTTGGCAAAGATGATTGATGGCGAACGTAATGTTCGTTTGAGCAATTGTCAAGTATTGAAGCGCGCCTGTAATTTGTCGATATTCTGTTGAGTTAGCAAGGGCTTCATCTATGGCATACTTATCATACCTCTTAGCTGATAGAGGAGTGGAGACTAGGTTCAAATAAATCATGGAGGTATCCTGAACGATCTGCATTAAGTATTGTTGTTGATGTAGAAGCATGCACTCTTTGGAGCGCTCCACCTGAATACTGAGAAACCTGGAAACATACCTAATATGTTTTAAGTGGAAGCTAGAAGTGAGTTGTTGGGTGAGAGAGGTCACAAAAGTAATAATCAGATAGATCAACATAAATTAGGACAAAAATCTGCTTGGAGGGGTCAAATAGATCAGCAAGAAGGGTGTCAGATTTGCTAATGTGAATTTCATGTTGTATAAAGAAAGATGAGATAGTTATAAACTATTGTTGAGGTGGTGTTTCGAGCCATATAAAGCTTTTTTAAGGAGAATACGTGGTTGGGAAACTAAGGGTCTTTGAAACCAATGGGCAATTGTATATAAACTATCTGTAAGATGGCCATGTAGAAATGTAGTCTTAATGTCAAGTTGAAATAGAGGTCACTGATTGTTGAAGGCCAGAGTGAATACAGTGCGTAGTGTGGCCTTCTTAGCAACCAGACTGAAGATCTCATAATAGTTAATTCCAAATTCTTGTTTATAGCCCTAAGTCACCAAATGGAATTTGTATCAAACAATCATTGCATCATAATTATATTTGGTGGTATAAGTCCAACGACAACCAAGAACCACTTGGTTTCGAGGTGGGGGAACTAACACACATGTAGCTTGAGAGTGGAGAGTGTAGAATTCCTCTATCATAGCTTTGTGCCAATGTAGGAGCTTAACTGTTGGAGTATATGAGGAGGGGTTTGGGTTGTGTTGTAATTCATGGAGCAGATTGAGTTTTTGAATCACTATCCAGTTTTGCTTGATTTTGCGTCGGATGCAAGGTATGTGTAGTGGATGAAAGAACAATGGTAGAGGATGAAGGTGGAGGAGGCTATTATGGGGATAAAGGGGGAAATGAGGAGTTGATGGTTGAATGGGAGAGTGGGGTTGCTATTTTCTGGGTTGGAATAGTTCAGGTAGTTGCAATTACAACAGCTAGTAGTGGATTAGGGACTGTTAAAGGCAATATATGAGAGTTGGAGATGTGGGATTTGAATGAAAAAAAGCTCTCATGAAAGATCACATGTTTGGAGATGATTAAAGCATGATATGTGAGATTGTAGCATTTAAATCCTTTGTGTGCTGATATCCAAGAAAGACACATGGAGTGGAGTGCAGAGTCAATTTATAAGGTGTTGCATGTTTAAGCCATGAATAGCAACAACGCCCAAATACTTTGAGATGAGAGCAGTGTGGTGGATGATTGTAAAGATGTTCATACGAAGATAGAAATTAATTGATTTTGGAGGGCATGCGAATGATCAAGTATAGAGTGGTAAAGAGGGCATCAACTCAAAAATTTAAGAGAATCAAGGCACCTTGAAGAGAGTTTGAGTGGTCTAAATGAGGTGGTGATTTTTGTTCGACAACACCATTTTGCTCTAGGCTATAAAATCATAAAAAATGTTGTATGATACCATTGTGAGAGAATTATTCTCGGAGAGATGCTTGTATTCTCCTCCCCCATCCGAGTGAAGCAAATGAATTGTCGTTTGAAATTGTGTGTGGATCATTTTAAGAAATTTTATACATATTTGGGTTGTCTTAGTAACCAAAAAAATTTAGAATGTTCATAAAGAAAGACAACATAGTAATAATACCCTTGATTAAATAAAACTAAGGATAGACCTCATACTACTGAATGAATAAACTGGAAAGGTAAATACAAATGTAAAGAAGCTGAATGACATGGTAATTTGGGGCTTTTGTTGCAATTATAACTTTTACATATTGATAGTTTGGTTGGGATATCAAGAGATGGATTGGTCTTTGAAATGCATTGAAGTATATCCAAGTGAGGATGACTGGGATGCGTGTGCCATATTGTGGATGTTTGGTTGGATGTTGCAGGAGCCTTATGAGTTATTATCGAGGGTGGAGTAGGAACCATGGTATGGATTGGGCATAGCTCTCTCGAATTGTGGTCCAAAAATATCTCATGATTTATTTATGGATTGATGATATGAAAACCAACAGAATCAAAGATAATAGTGGAATTGTTTTTCGTGGTTAATTTATGAACCGATAGAAGACTATGCGATAGAGAGGGGTATGCCAAATGTATGAAAGTAAAAGCTTAAATTTTGGAGTCAAAAGTATGTCAATGCCGACAGTTTGAGCCTGAACTGATTGTCCATTACTCACTAAAATTTGTTTAGTACCGATGGCAAAAGTGGAGGTGTGGGGGTGATTGGCACTGGAGGTTGCAAGAGTGATTGCACCTCAGTTAATAACCCATGTAGAAGCCTATAAGGCTTAATTTGATGGCAGGTAATTGACCCCAAAATTTGATATAGCTGTGTAAAAATTATATAGTTGACTCCACTATGCAACGACGCCAAAAGCTTGATGCAATATTTTATGAATAAGAAATTTAAGCAATTAATATTGGGATTCTATGCAAGTATACATATTATTATCAAGTAATAATGAACTTTCTATTTAAACCGCAAATATCAATCCCACGGGGAAGTTTTAAATTTGAAAAGATAAATTTACTAGGAAATTCACAGAAAGTCAATACGAAATTACTGTCACTAATTTTAAATGTTGAGATAATATCAGAACTAAATTAT